TTCACCCCTCCACCCTTCCCTATTTACAGACTTTGTTTCCATTTTTTTCCTTTTTTCTTTTCCCTTCCCTTTCCCCTGCCCTTCCCACCTCCCCTACACCTTTAGACCTTTTCTTCCTATTACACAGTATCAGTTATACATTTTGCTCCTTATTTATACTTTTACTTTATCACACCAGAGAAACTATGTGGTATTTCTACACATGTGTTCTATTAATTTCACTTAAAAATATGTCCTCAATGTGTATCCACTTAGCTATGTCTCTAGTTTCTTGTTCTTTATGGCAGAGTAGTACTCCATTTTATTAAAAAAAACAAAAAACAAAAAACAAACCACATCTTCTTTATCCAGTCTCCAGTTGATGGGCATTTGGGTTGTTTCCAAGTACCAGGGATCAAACTCAGGACATCCTGGCTTAAGAGGCAGTGTGGCACCACTGAGCTAAATCCCCAGCCATCCTCCCATGTTACCAGGGGTCATAATATGGCTGGTCTTGTTTCATCAATGTCTCATTCTTCCTCTTCTCCAGTGAATCATAAATTTCACATTTATGTGATTCTGTTAATACATCCTTCATTATTTATGAACCAGAACCATAATGCCATTATCATCATAAAACATTTAACAAAATTCCTTACTATTTTGTGTCTGGTCAGTTTTTCAACTTTTTGGTCACTTCCTTCATTTCTTATTACATTTGGTCTATTCAAATCAGAGCCTAAAGTCTGTCCCATTATTGACAAGTATGTCTCTTAAGTCTGTTTTTACCTAAACAATTTCTTCTCTTCTTTATTTTTTACTAATTGAAGAGTCATTTGACTTACATGATTCCTCATATTCTAGATTTGCCTGATTATATACCTTTAGTGTTAATATGTTTCCTTTATCTCCTGTATTTTCATTAACTGGTAGTAAAATTTAAAAACTTGTTCATACTCATTTTCAGTCTTCATTCTTGTTTTCCTTTTTTTTTTGTTTAAAGAACGCTGCATCATCACTGCTGTGTAATTCCTGTTGCTTCACTTTATAAGCATGTTATGTCTGGATTGATACCCCCTAATTCAGAGGGTAGAGTCACAAATGGACTGAGGTGTTGCCAGCTGATCTGGCTAGTATAAAGTACTCATCGGTTTTCTTGCTAACAATTCATTGTTTCATTAGATGTTGAAATTTGGTTACATTTTAGTTCTGTTATTCCTTTTGTATTTACTACTGATATTTTCATATTAAGATCTTTTCTTTCTGTGTAGAGTGGTGCATGCCTATAATCCCAGCACTTTGGTAGGCTAATACAGGGGAATTACAAGTTGAAGCCCAACCCAGGCAACTTAGCTACATAGCAAGATGTTGTCTCAAAACAAAACAAAACAAAACAAAAAAAAAATATATATATATATGTATGTATAAATAAAGGGACTGAGGATGAGGATGTAGCTCAGTGGAAATGCCCTTGTTCAATCCCTGTAGCATATACACATATACTGAGAATAAAATATCTTTTCCTATCAACTCTTTCGTTGCTGTGAAATTTAAAGAAAAGAAGGACAAATTATTGATATTGCCCTTTGCCCATTTTAAGAACAATATGCTAGAAAAGGTAAAAATAGAATTTCTATATGATGCAGCAATCCTACCTAGAAGACTTGAAATCAGTATGTTGAAGAGAAATCTGGAAACTTGTGTTCATTGCATCACTCTTCACAGTAGCCAAGATGTGGAATCAGACTAAGTGTCCATCACAGATGAATGGGTAAAGACAGTGTGGTTTAAAGGGGTTATATACCTGAATACTGTTCAGCATTCAAAAAGAAGGAAATACAGTCACTTGTGGCAACACAGTGCACCTGAAGCACCTTGTGCAAGTAAAATAAACCAGGCACAGAAGGACAACTTTGCATATTCTCACTTACATGTGGAATCTAAAATAGTGAATTTTGCAGATTCAGAGATGAGTGGTAGTCACCAGAGTCCTGGGTGAGAAATGGGAAGGTGTTGGCCAAAGGTACAGAGTCTTAGGAGGAAAGAGTTTTTGTTTTGTTTTTTTTCTTTTTTTTTTTAGATATATTATAATTAATAAAAATTATTCCATAATTCAGAACTGCTCAGAGAGTAAATTTCAAATTGTCGCACTACAAAACACAAGTAATTGGGCCAGGGATTTAGCTCAGTGGTTCTGCCACCTGCCTTGCAAGCGCAAGGACCTCAGTTCAATCCCCAGTACCAAAAACAAAACAAGTAATTATTAATTTTTAATATTATTTTTGGTTTTTTGAGATAGGATCTTGCTATGTAGTCCTGGCTGGCCTTGAACTCACAGGGATCCTCCTGCCTCAGCCTCCTAAATGCTGGGACTGCAGGCATGCAGTAGCATACCCAGCTAGCTTGATTTAATTATTTCACAGTGTATTTGTAATTCATAATACCATTTCATACCCCATAAATACATAGTTATAATTTGTCAGTTTCTAGCCACAGCAACAGCAAAAGAATGCTAGCTTAAGTTAGGTTCTTAATAAATAAGACTATTTCAAAATAAATATATGAACTCATTAAAGATTTTGTTTTTAATTTTAATCTTTTATTAATAAGTGTTTATAGTGCATAATGATCACATTCTTTGTGGGAAGTTGGTACATGTATGTAATGCATCTCAGTTCTTTTTTTCTCCCTTCTCTCTACTTCATCTCTTGTTCCCCTTCCCATTTATAAAAGATCTATTGCTGTACTTGCTATTATCTTTCATTTTGTTTTGTATTTATATTTTGGTTTCTCATATTAGAGAAGGAGTCTATGAATGTTCACTCAGCCCCGCGCAGACCCAGCCTTTCAGCAGATGAATTTGCAGGGAAAGCACTTAGGTATTAACAGTGTCTTTGATGACACATTGAGAGTCAGCAAGGCTATGCTAGTAGGTGTTAAATCCTACAGTACAACCATCAAGTGGAAGATTCCATAGTGTTCCTTCAGGAGGAAGGGATGAGTGCACCGAGGCATGTAATGGCTCTTCTAATGGACCTTACAGTTGTTCATAGGGTATTTGCTTTTTAAGAATTCATAGAATGTAACAACAAGGCTTATATACTTTCTGTAACTTTTATTCTATAATTAGAACATTTAAGAAGCTCAACATCACTTGAATGAATTCTTTCTGTGATTAAGCTATGAATTTGTTGTCTTAGAGGCTTTTATTTTTTAAGAATAGCTTTTTTAAAACTTGGGTTGCTGAGTATGGTGGTGCATGCACATAATGTTGGGTGCTCAGGAGGCTGATGCAGGAGTATTGCAAGTTTGAGGCCAACCTGGGCAAATTAGTGGGACTTTGACTGAAAATACAATTTAAAAAGGCTAGAGATGTAGTTCAGTGGGAAAGCACTTGACTAGTATGTATGAGGCCCTAGGTTTACTCCCTAATACTGAAATAAAAATGTTTATAGCTTGATTTTTTCACTTACATAAAACATATGTGATTTTCAAGTGAACAGTATAAACTAAGATGTAATTAGCAAGGCCTGCCTAATCTGTCCCCTTTTCTGTTCCTTTCCTTCCTGTATAGGTAGATGCACACATGCATATACATACAGGTAGATTTCTATATAGGCAGAGCTACATACACACAAAGATGTGGGCATACACAGTTATGTATACAGAAAATACGGAGATACACAGATACACATGCACAAAGATATATGCACATAAACAACTCTGCACATAGACAGATATTCATGCACACAGGTAACACATGTACACACAGATATGTACACATGTAGTTATTACACATGTACAGATAACCACACACATATTTACTCATACATTCTCCTCAACTGTATTATTCTGTATGTAATGTCATTTAACAGTGTGTCCTATTGGTTTTTCCATAGTATTATGTTGATGTCTTCTTTTGTTTTTTGTTTTTTCCTTTTAAAAATTTCTCTATATGCTGTTTCAGCTAGCTTTTTAAATGTCTCTGACTTTTTGTTACTGTAAAAAAGTGTTGCAATTAATAGTCCTGTATGTATGTCATCTTATGTTTTTGCTGTTCTTTCTATAAGGAAGGTTCTGAGAAGAGGTATGTTACAGCATAGTCTGAGAGTAAATTTGATATTCTTCTATATTTAAAATTTAGTATGGTTATTAGTATCTAATAGCACTTACCTAGATACTAGCATGTTAACTGTGCTTCTATTACTGAACGCATATTTTATGGTGGTAAATGTAATATTTTATTAGCTATACACACACACACACACACACACACTTGAGGATTTTTGTGTATATCATTTCATTGTCAAAATATGTGTAGATCAGAGGTAGATATGATCAATTTAGTCTTTCTAAAATAATGTCACAGTTAAATAGTAAGCCTTAATAGGCAAGAACATCAAGCAGGAAAAGAGTGATTTAAAAAATTTAATGACTGGTATCTTTCTACAGAATTGTTTTTTGAGCCAACTACTGTCTTTCAAAATGAAGACTTCAGAAGGTTTTGTTTTTAGAACTGTCTAAATAAATATATCATTTCTGGGTCCTGCTGTACCCTGATTTGTGCATTGACTGCACCCTTAGATCAAGCTTGTGTCTAGATGTCCCCCAAAGCCTTATGCAGTCATTGGTGCGGCTTTTTCGGAGGTTGCTGAATCTAGAGTGTGTGATGAATTTGTTATGCAGTGCTAGATCTGAGGGCAATAGGATTAAGGGTGTGAGTTACATACCCTATGTCATATGAATAAGATAAAAGAGTAAGAAAAGATAAAGACTTTAGGTTCCCTTGTTGCTTTTGTTGTGTTCCACTGCCATAAACTGTTGCCCCTCTGCCATGTGCTGCTCTGCCTTGGAGCCAGCTGATTATGGACTGAAACCTCTGTGAGCTAAATAAACCTTTCCCCTTTAACCTTGGGTCCTGGGGTAGTTTGTCTCAGCACTGAGAGAAAAGTAACTATGACAAGGAGTAATCTTCTATAATGTATTTCAAGAGTGGTAACCTTTTCTCCTCGACTTTCTAGGTTCATGTTTTATTCGAACAGACCAGCTTGATGGTGAAACTGACTGGAAGTTAAAGGTGGCAGTGAGCTGCACACAACGGCTGCCAGCTCTAGGGGTGAGCATCATGAAAACTATTGAATCCTTTTATTTTAGTGTTACTCTTAGGGAGGAAGGACATTTCTGCTTGTACCAGCCAACTTATGTAGTGCATCGGGAATTTATTTTATACCTAATGAGGAGTCACTAAAAATGATGCCAAAATAATTTTTGTAATTTTTTAGCGTAACTTGCTTTAAGTGGTTTGAATTGTTTCTATTGTTTAACATTTAAATTTTTCTGTCCTTTGTTTTTTTTTGTTTTTACTTTCTCAGTTAAATAATGTTGATGTTGAGGACTTATGGTGGGGATCCTGGGAGTCTGTTGTTGCTAACTGATTTATTCCTTAATAACTAGTCAAGTATTGCTTTGGTAGACAAATTTAGACACTGAGTTAGTCTTGCCTTTGAAGTCACCCTTTTTTTTTTTTTTTTTTTTTTTTTTTCTCCTGTAGCATAGAGAACCTCTGTGATCAGAGAAAGCAAGTGCCACTGTGTCTCTTGAACCAGTAGGAGACTCTGGCTTGAGCTTTACTGAGTGTTCACTTGTACTTTGGAAAGGTGCACAGTGGGTTAGTGAGAACAATTTTCAGTGATCTCAGAATCTCTCTCACAAATGTATGAATTTCCCAAACTAGTGCACATTTTGTTTTCAAACACAACCACCATTATGTTTGTTTTTGGTTAGTTCATATATAGCATCATTCTGAATGCAAGAAGCTTTGTTCTGTAGGATTTCCTGATACTCTGGAGAGTAGAGAAAAACTGAGATTGTTTTAGGATGACCTTTGACCCAAGCATGTGTTGTCTGAGAGAAGGGAATTTTGATAATGTAGATTTAGTCCTTTTCCTTAGCTTAGTTGTATGAGATTAGGTACAGCAGCATGTCCTAAATATAATTTATAATTACCATGGAAATAGGAACCTTCTTGTTCTTTATGCTGAATTTCTTGGAAAACATGTTGACATACACAGGCCTGAGAGATATTTTGTTGTTCAGCTATTTTACTTTTGCCTGTTTTAGGTAGTTCCTAGATTAAAATTCATTGTTTATGTATTTTGTATATTTTCCAAAACCAGCGAGACTCAGATGAGTTTCTTAATTCCTTCCTTGTCTATTTGTTCATCATTATATGTGTTGTCACACTGTTACTATAATCATCTCTCTCTCTCTTTTTTTAAATTTTTTTTATTGTGGTACTGAGGATCAAACTCAGGGCCTTGCACTTGGGAGGCAGGCAGCGGCACCACTGAGCTAACTCCCTGGCCCATTTCTCTCTTTCTTTTTTAAACTGGAAAAATACAAGACATAATTGTAAAGTGTGGTGAATTTTGAAAGGATTATAGTAAAAGACACATTTCCACTGATGTCCTTCAAAATATTCCCATTGCTTTGAACATACCACAAGATTCTTGCCACTTTCTAAAGCAGTTCTAGAAGTTCTTGTTTGTGTTTTTAGTTATGCTTCATAGCTGCCTGGATACCCTGAATGGATTTGAAACATTTACCTTTTGTGGTCATTTTAACTTTGGTGAAGAGCCAGAAGCCACACAGTGCCAGATAGGGTGAATAAGGAATAAGGTGGATGAGGCTATACACTAATGATTTTATGAATCTGACTTTCTGTTAGATGACAGTCAGAAGCAGCTGAAGACACTAATAAAAGAAGCCTGGTACCTACTCTCTTCCTGCTGGTAGAGCTTCTCAGCTGTCAGCATACATTCTTCCAGAAAGGAGAGGAAGGCTTATATTTTACCTGACTAATAGTACTATGTGCTTTGGTAATAATATGTAAGTCATAAAATGAAGACATTGACTGCCATCATATTTGCTGTACAGTGCTCCTGGCAGCACCCTTTCTTTACTCTCTTTTCACTTGGATAGTGGGATGGTGCTGTGTAGCTGTTTTCCCAGTGTACTGTTTATTTTGTTTTGTTCTGTTTTGTTTTTGTGCTGGGGATTGAACTCAGTACCTTGTTCTTGCAAGGGAAGCATGGTGCCACTGAGCTAAATCCCAGGCCCCACCAGTGGGTTATTTATTCAACAATATGTTCATGTAATCTTTTGTGTAATATTTTACACGTTTTATATGAATTTTATTTAAAAGTTTTTATAAAAATTGAGCATCTATGTACAGCATGACTTACCTGTGTTTTAAAATTACTTTTAAAATGATTACACCTTTGCTTTATGCTCAGACTACAGTGTCTGTATTCGTGATTATATTTTAAGTGGTTTTGTTTTAAGTACCTTTTTTTCATACATTTTTCTAATCAATCTAACATTTATTTTGGATCAAGCTACTAATAAGAAATCAAACTTAAAGGAGGGAAAGAAAAGAAAGATCCCTGTTAGTTGCATCAGTAGTATTCACTGAACACTTAGTGTTTTTTCCCAAATTAAAAATTACCCTCAGATGATTATATAATTTTTAAAAAATAATCAACTTTATTGCTACATTTAAGTTATACAATATAATGTCTCAATATCTAATAGTATGAGTGTTCCCTGTTTCTTCATACTATAGCCCAGTGCATATTATAAACACATTCTCTCAATCTGTTTTCTAACTTTTATTTCTTAACTTCTTCCTATCTTTTGGCATATTAATTTGTTAAATTTTATTTGGGTCAATATTGGTATGTTTTCCTCTTAAGTTTGTAGATTTCATGTTGTGTCCAGAAGATGTTCTCACACTAGTATTCATTTATCTTTTTAACCATTTTAAGTGTCTTTCAGTAGATCGAGTCTAAGAGTGAAAGGCTGGTCATTAGCATTTATAGTACTGCAGGTATTAAAATATTCCCTTCAGTTCTACAGGATGTACAGTGACCCACAGAGAATGAAGTTCCGTTGTGCCGCTTATCTCTTCAGCCAATTGGGTGATTTGATTTAGTGTGCTAGTCAAACAGCTTCGTTTTTATGGCACTTTCACCGTGCATAGTCATGCCTTGCTCCAGCCTGAATATCCTCTGTCACATTGTTTCCTGACTCAGCTTTTTCTCACCATAACCCTATTTCCCAGTGTTTTATATTTTTTTCATGTTGCAAAATAAAGCTATGTCACTATCTTAGTACTTAGGGCATGTAGGTTATTATTCTCATGCTATTTGGTAAGGAAAAATTTATCAGAGTGACATCTTACAGCCTGCTGACTTTGTGATGTAAATTAAGTTGATTGTTGGGTTAGTGCTACTTTTTCTGCTTTACACATTTCTTCCTTGTGTCCTTCATTTCTTTTGCTGCTGTACGTTCTTAATCGCTCCAGACTGAGAGAGAAAGAGAGAGAGAACCAAAGATTTTATTTGATACCATACTTGCATGATAACCCTACCCTCTGTTCTTTCTTCCTACCAGTCCTCCGAGGAATTGTGGGATGCACTCTTGGTAGTCAGCTTGGAAATGGCCACAGTAAATGATAATTTTGTGATAGATTATAATTTTGGGCTTTGCAAGGTAGTCAGGGGTACTTTTGAAGGTGATAAAATATTTGACAATTGTGGTGATGGTAATAGACATGTATATCAAAACAAAATTTTATACCTTAAATATTTGCAGTTTATTGCATGTAAATAATACATTATTAAAGTTCTAGTATACTATTATCTATAACTGAGTAATCTCTGTAATAATAGGAAGTCACATTTTATTTTATTCAATATTATAAGAACGGAGAGTCTTCATTTTTGTTAATGGCACACATATATGTAAAATACATATTTTAGAATAATTAGGTATACATTTCATATAATGTGGCTTTAAAATTTTGTTTGTGGTTTTTTTTGGGGGGGTACTGGGGATTGAACTCAGGTCCTAGAACTTGTGAGGCAGGCGGTGAAACCACTGAGCGAAATCCCTGGACCAGCTTTAAAATTTTTATGGGAAGTATAGTTTGATAAGGAATATAATTAAGCATTTGAGTGAATAAAGCTTAGCTGAATTTCTGATTTAGTAATCAATTTAAATTTTTACCATCATAAAATTAAACCTTTTTGTTTGTTTTTGTTTTTTGAGGGTCTCACTATGTAGTTGAGACTGACCTGTAACTCACTGTGTAACGCAGGCTGATCTCAAACTCACAGCGATCCTCCTGCCTCAGCCTCCCGAGTGCTGGGATTACAGGTGTGTGCCACCATGCCCAGCTGTAGACCCATTTTATATAGATTTTTTCATAATAAAGAAAACTCTGAATTTATTGTGGATACAGGCAGTGCAGTTTTATCTGGGATTTTATTGCTTATGCTGGCCATAATTGTCATTCCTATTTGAATTCTTGTGTTTCTGTTGTTATGGGCTTGGTGATATTTTGTGTCACATTGCCATTTGTGTCATGTCAGATTCATGCCACCATCTCACTCCCGAGTAAGTAAATATCCTGGCATCCACTACAGTGTTTCCTGAAGAACCAAGGTCAGCACTGCAGAGTAACTTCTATTAGTTACGGCATTCTAAGACACTTAATATGGTCAGAATTAAAATTTCAGAGGAGCTGAATGATAATAGCTGCACTGCAGGTCCTACGATGCAGATGCTGTTTCTCGTTGCCGTATGGAGGGCACAGTTTTCAGGCATTGTAGACATTGGGGAAATATGTTTCTGGCTTTTGCGATCAAGCACATTTATTAACCATGAGGCACAAGTAATTTTCAATAAATCATGACTTGCTGATTTATTTCAAAAGATCCATATAGCAGTAAACAATACCATTTACATTTAATTAGTTTTATTGAACGAAAGGCAATTTTATTTGTAATGAACCACATGTTATGATTAAGGATGTATCTTAATGACCTTTAAGTAATGCGAACAAATGTTGCCCTTGACCTAATAGCAGAGGCTTTCTTACATTATTGAAAACTTCAGAATGATTTTTAAATTATCGTGAAAAGCTTCAAATGACATTCTCATTATTGTGCCATTATTCAGTCATTTGATGTCTAATATACTAGATGAAATGCGCTCCTCTAAATGTTCATGTGCATGTAGAAATGAGGATTGTTGCTAGCTTGTTCTTTATTT